ACTTACGGCCACAATGCCTTCCTTCCTCCCCTCCTTTTTCCTTTCCTCCAAGCTTTCTCCCTCCCCTTTTTTCCCTTTTCCTTTCTCTCTTCTCTTCCTTTCCAATTCCCCTTCCTTCCTTCCCTCTGTATTTTCTTTTTCTTTCTCTTTTCTCTTCTTTTCCAATTCTCCTTCCTTCCTTCCTTCCTTCCTTCCTTCCTTCCGTACTTTCCTTTTCTTTCTCAATTCTCTTCTTTTCCAATTCTCCTTCCTTCCCCTTCCCTTTTTCCTTTCCTTTCCTTCCCTTTCCTTCCCTTCCTCTTTCCCTTTCCTTTCTTTCCCCTTCTCCTTTCCTTTCCTTCCCTTTCTCCTTTCCTTTCCTTCTCTTTCCTTTCCTTCCCTTTCTCCTTTCCTTTCCTTTCCTTTCCTTCCCTTTCTCCTTTCCTTCCCTTTCCTGTCCTTTCCTTCCCTTTCCTTTCCTTTTTCCTTTCCTTTTTCTTTCCCTTCCCTTCCCTTCCCTTTCCTTTTTCCTTTCCTTTCCTTTCCTCTCCTCTCCTGTCCTCCCTTCGCCTTCCCTTTCTTACAGGAGTGCAGAATTCAAACCCGCCACCCTAGGTAAAGAAAAAACGTACATGCAGATCACCAACCCAAAAGAATCTAAGAAGTGAAACCATCTTACTTCTTGACAGGGATCCTCCCATCTTGGTTAACCTGGAGTTTCAGCCGGGCGTAGCTGTAAGCACACAATTGGGAGAGTGAGTCCACGGGGCAGGAAGGAAAGGTGGAGCTGCTTATCACGGTCCAAAGATAAGCTAGAAAAGGTGTTTTTTTTTCCCCTCCCACCCCATGGAAATTTGATTCAATTCTTCCTTTTTTTTAAAAGGCCAGCTTGGGTCAGTCTAGATCGCAAATGCAAGTCAGGTCAGCTTTGGGTGAATCAGGAAGCCCCCGTCTTTATCTCGACTCTTGCCAGAAAAAAAACACTTACGCTTTTTGCAAAAAAGTAGTCCGAGAAGCGTTTTGGGCGAGGATGTTGGTGGCCAGCTTGAACAGTTCCTCGGCCCAAATCTGGAAGCAGAAGAAGGGAGGAAAAAACGCTGTAATTCCTTTACGCCCAAAAAAACGGGATTTGAAAGCAGGTGGCCCAGAATCACACAGCAAAATAGGAAGGAGATTGTGGTTGTCTGTGCTTGGCTGATGGCAAAAGGAGGCCTGGAGGCTTGCAACAGTCTGTTTAGTGACCGTCCTGAGCTACCATGGCACTGAAAAAAGTGACTTGTGACCCGGTCCTCACAGTTACGGCCATCTCATATAATAACCGGATCAACATTCGGACGGCATCTATTTATGACGACTGCCGTGTCCTGAGGTCACGCGATCACGGTTTGCGACCGTCCAGTCGGCCAAGTCAATGGGGAAAGCCGGGTTTGCTTAATGACTGGTGACTCACTTAACAGCCTCAACGATTCATTTAACAACCGTGGCTACAGCGGTCGTAAAATCAGGCACGGCTCACTTAAGAGGCTGCCTCGTTTAGCAACGGGACTGGCTAAACGAGGTTGCAAGGCAAGGACTTGTTTTTCCCAATCTTTGCTCCAAATATTCTCTTAATGCCGTTTGTTCCTTTTGCCCCAACTCAACAATGCAACCCAACGCACACATACAAACACACACACACACACCAGGTCGCTCTGGAACTCCCCCAAAACAGGGCAGAACCAGAATCAAGTTGCTACCTTCCTAGATTTCAGCCACTTTTTTAAACAATAAGGCTAATTTGATTCAGAGAGCGAGCAGATGCCATTTAAGGATGTGGCAAACACAAAAGCGGTTGATTTTTCACCCACGGGCAGGTCTGTTTTTGAGCCAAAACAGCTTTAAAAAAGACAGCAAATACATATAACCCACAGGATGAACAAGCCTTGGACATCTTTGCAAATCTGAAATATAGATTCCGGGCTATTTAGCCCCGTGGGGTAAAAAGAAAGCCCTGTTTACTGCACAGTTCAATTAAATGGAGGTTTTAAAACACTTTGGTTTTTTTTAATGTTATGGCTTTTTGCATTTGGGTGCCCGGAAGTTGCCTAGAGACGAGGTTTTTTTAGGAGATGAGGTTTTAGAAAAGTTTCCCAAAGCGTTTTTAAAAAAGTTTTTAAGAGGCATTCAGAAAGCATTACTTTGGAAGAGTGTGTGAGAGACGCAACACTCACAACCATCACGATGCGTGCAAATGAGAACAGGGCCATTAGCTGCTTGCCACTGTGCCCAAGACATTCCCCGAAGTTTATTTAGCTTAATCAGTAATCCAGAACTAAAAGGAACAATTCCATAACAGGAAATCTTGAAGCAATGCAGTTCCATCTGAACAATTTTACAACCGCTAAAATCAAGATGGGAAAAGATATTCTGGGGTCCTGGGGTCCCCAAGGAAATCAATTCCCTCTGTGTGTGTGTGTGTGTGTGTGTGTGTGTATAAATAAATAAAAATTTGGTATTTTAGGCCTAAGCTACTGCAGGTTTCAAACTGAAGGGATGGGAATAATAATAATAATAATAATAATAATAATAATAATAATAATAATAATAATAATAATAATAATAATAATAATAATAATAATAATAATAATAATAATAATAATAAAAAACATCCACATCTGCCTATCCCAGGTCCTTGGGAAGCACTCGATAGGTAGACAAAAATGTCAAATCCAGTCTGAACATCTGGCTGACTGTGCGATGATCAATAATAATAATAATGTTGGAAGGGACCTTGGAGGTCATCTAGTCCAACCCCCTGCTCAGGCAGGAAACCCTATACCGTTTCGGACAGATGGCTGTCCAGTCTCTTCTTAAAAACTCCCAGTGTTGGAGTGTTCACAGTTTCTGGTGGCAGGTTGTTCCACTGGTTAATTGTTCTAACTGTCAGGAAGTTTCTCCTTAGTTCTAGGTTGCTTCTCTCTTTGGCCTCCTTACCTTTGCTGTATTGTCTTGGACCACTGCCATGAAGTTGAGGAAACTCACGTTGACCAGGTCAGGCCCATGAACCACTGTCAAAAGTTTATCCTCGGGTTGTTGTTCTGGACTTCCAAAGCCCAGGGTTTCCCGAATCTTGGGGTCCTTCAAAAGACAGGAGAAGACATAGAAGAGTTGAGAGAAGCCATCTTTATTGGACGGAGGCTATGAAGAAGCGTGGTTTTTGTTAAGCGGTGTTTCTCAACCGTGGCAACTTTAAGACGTGTGGGCTTCAACTCCCAGAATTCTCCAACCAGCGTGCTTTCAAATGGGTGGACTTCAACACCCAGAATTCCCCAGGAAGCATGCTTTAAAAGGGGTGGACTTCAGCTCCCAGAATTCCCCAGGAAGCATGCTTTAAGATGGGTGGACTTCAATTCCCAGAATTCTCCAACCAGTATGCTTTCAAATGGGTGGAGTTCAACACCCACAATTCCCAAGGAAGCATGCTTTAAAAGGGGTGGACTTCAATTCCCAGAATTCCCCAGCCAGCATGCTTTAAAAGGGGTGGACTTCAATTCCCAGAATTCCCCAGCCAGTATATTCATTTTCATTACGGGTTTGCAATCTAAAATTGTGCGCGTCAGCTTTCCCTAAACTGGATACTCTCTAGACATGTGAATGTCAGCTTCCAGATGTCTCAGCAACAATTCTCATGCTACTTGGGGAATTCTGGGAACTGGGGTCTACCCACTTGAGAAGAAGGCTTCAGTTCCCAGAATTCTCAGCAAGGGTCATGCAGGAATACTGAGAATTGAGAACTGAAGGATGGAGAGGTTATCAATCTCAATCATTCGATAAATCACTGTATCTAGCCCAGAAAAACATAGTTAAAAACAAATCCAAGCTTAATGCAATGAGACAATGCTATGACAGGGTCTTTCCAGCAGCCTAAGCTATTACCCTGGTCATCAAATTATTTTAATTTTATTTCCTCACTTTATTTCATTAATGGAGAGACCGGCTGACTCCACAAATTCTGGGCAGCTTACTTATTAAAAAGTAGAAAACAGGAAAAAAAAAAGAAAAACAACGGACTTTCGAAAACAAAAACCTATATGCCTGCAAATCAAGAGTTTTGCATGCAGAATGGAGCGAGCCGTGGTTTGCATTCTGGAAACAAACCACGGTTTGTACAGAAGAAACCACAGCTTGCATTCTGGAAAACGGCAGAGACATTTGTTAAGTGAATTTTGCTCCCTTTTGCGACCTCTCTTGTGCCCGTCGTTAAGTGAACCGCTTAACACGTGACTCCCTTAAGTCAGCCACACGGTTCCACCTATAAACCGGGATTTACCTTCGGCAGCTTGGCGTAGCGTCCTGTCCGAGTGTCCCGGACGTAGCTGATATCCAAAACGTCCACTTCCTGTCAATTTGGGGAGGGGGGGTGAGAAAAAGGCAAAAAAAAAGGAAAGGAAAAGGGTTATGAAGTGAAATAAGGGAAATCTTGGTTACCCAAAGTCTGAACATTATAAATATCAAAGGTTAAATTGGAATATTGATGAAAAACTAAAAATTGGGCCAAAATTAATAACAGGATATGGATTGTTTAGGAAGATCGAATGTCATTAAGATATGTATAAGCTAAAAATGTATGGATCTATGTAATAACGATGTTCTTATTGAGTTGGTATCATTAGAAATGTACAATCTTGAATAGGAGACAGTAAATGTTAAGGGAAAAAGAGAAGAAATATCTGATGTTGTAACCTGAGATTTGCACTAAAGACTTTGTTATTGAACTGTTGGTTAACCCAGTCGCCACGTTGCTTTTTAAATATTCAAATGGAAAATTGGAAAATTAATAAAACATTATTTAAAAAAAAAGGAGAGCAAAAAAAAAAAAAAGACATTTCTTCAATTTAACGTGCTTTATTAGCACCGTGGCCCATTTCTGCCACCTTCTCCTGCCGCGACAAGAACCGCAAAATGTGTTAATTAGGCTAGCTAACGAGGTTTCTCTCTTCCTTGCCCCCACGACAAGGAACATATTAATTTTAGATTTGGGGTTTGTTATTTGGGTTTTTGGGTTGTTTTTTTTTAACTGCCAGAAACCTCCTTTGGTAAAGTCTCAATAGCTGCCTTTTGAATAATTCAAGGAAGGAGAAAAGAAACAAACAAACAAACAAACCGGCAGCCAACGAACATTAGTGTCTATGATAGTCTGTTGGCGGCTACCCATTAGCCGGCTTAGATCTGTTCACACACACGCCTTTGCAGGAAAAGGACACACTTCAACGCCCTCCTATTTGCTTGGGTTTCCAGTCATTGCCGTAGTGTATTGCGAAGATTAAGGTCCTCTGCTTAAGGCTGCAATTACAGGGGGTCCTCCACTTACGACCGCAAGGGAGCCCCAGATTTCTGGCGCTCAGCGAAACATTGGCTAACTGCGTTTTGCCCCATTGCACGAACTTTCTTGCTACAAGCCACGTTGTTCAGTGCCGTTGTGCCTTTGAACGGTCACTAAATGAACTGTCGTGAGCCGCGGGCTGTACCGTGAAGGAGACACGGGTAAATAGGTAAATATAATGTAGTTTAAAACCGATTTTTTTTCTTATCTGCAGGCTTTTTAGGAATATATCTATATCTGTCTATCATCTGTCTGTCTATCCATTCATCCATCATCTCTATTCCTTCCTTCCTTCCTTCCTTCCTGCCTGCC